TCTCACGAATGACCAGTGATGTTGAACATTTTTTCATGTGTTTATTTGCTATTTCTACTTCTTTGTCTGAGAAATGTCTGTTCATTTCAGATGCGCATTTTTGGATTGGGTCTTTACAATGTGGAAAAAATCTTCACCAGCTGTCCCTCAGTCAAAGGTCTACTGTCTAGAATCTATAAAGAACTTAAAAAAAAAATCAGACCTCCCAAATTTAAAGACATCTTTACTATTAGGACAGTTGGTGTTTGTAATTGTGTTTGCTTTTCAGGCTGGTTATTATGACTGGTCTTGAAGATTACCCTTCCATACTATGCTCTTCTACCTGGGGCTAGGATTCAGCCAACTATGTTTCCTCTAAGGTTTTGCCAATAGGAAGGTGCTGGAGGAGAGCAGGAGGCTAGCAGCAGGAGCAGGGCCTCGCTCCTTCACATTTGCTTGGCCTTCCTGTAGCTTTACACAGCAAGGTCTCTTCCTGACTGTAGCAGTTGGCTCCCCTTTCTAGTGTTTAATCCACCCTCAAGTTTTACCTTTAGAAACAGTGGCACCAGCCAGGGACCACCCTCTCCTCGGGGAGTCTGTGTCTCCCTAGGGTTTGCCTCCCTACTCTGAGGCTCCCTAGCTCAGTGGCAGCTGCTTCTCTGGTTGCCTTTCCAATCCTCCATGACCTGCTTCAGCAATTCCTTAAATTCCCTGTAAGAATAATTACTGCCATGTCTTTTTTCTCACTGGGCCCTGACTTACAGAACCCTAAACCATTGAGAAAGGTCTTCTGAGCCACTTGTACAAAATTATAGGTATATAGTATTGCCATAATTTAAGAAAGAATTACTTTTATGGCATGCAGGTGGTAGCCAACAGACAAGACATATTGTACAAGTTAATCTATAACTTCATTGCTTGGGTTTGGGAACTATTTTTTCCTATCAAAATAATATTCATTCAAGCTAAATAGGTCCATTCATGTTCATAATGTAAATGAAGCATATAATATGATACAAATTTTGTTAAGCACCAGAATTAGCATTGCTTTCCCAACATATATTTAAAGTTCTAGATATTGTACCAGTAATCAATTTGAACTACGTTTTCTGAGAGTCCAAAGTGCATTGTTAGGGGCTGGGGATGTAGCAGAGTGGTAGAGCACTTCCCTGGCATGAGTGAGGCCCTGGGTTCCACCCCACTGTCACAACAACAGCAACAAAAAAGCATGTCCTTGTAAACATTTTATAAACTTATTTGAAACACACTCAAAATACATTTGATGTAAGCCCAGGAAGAAAAAAACCAGTCAAGTGAAAATGGAAGAAACAGTTTTTTCTAGTAAAAAGTCACAGGCTACAACTAAAATTTATCAACTTAATTTCATAAGGCATTGTGAAGATTTTACAGCATACTTGTTTTTACCTAGCTTTACTTAAGGAAATGAAAAAATTTCATTTCATTTCATTTTCATTTTGTTCTTTGGTAAATATGTTCATGTAAGTTATGGATAAGTGAAAACAAATGGCAGTTTCTTATTTCTACTTTGGATCAAAATGCAAATTAAGTGCATTTTGCAGAAGATATTTTCAGTTCATACTTTTGTTTCCATGATAAAAATATAAACCAAAGATTAAAAAGTGCTCTTCTATTCCCCTTGTTTTAGATCTTACACAGAACATATTATAAGAAAATTACTTTCCTACATAGAATCAAAGCTGGATGCTCTAATATTATCACTAATATTATTAACACCTACGCCATCGTCACTGCTGATGACCTGGTGACACTGCCTTATCCAGGGACGTTCTGGCATGGGGTGAAAATGCAGCGGCAGAGTGGGAACGGGGTCCAATGTGATCTTTGCAGAACTGCAGAACTGCAAAGCATAGAAAAGGGCAGGGGTTAACTGAAAGGACCTGGTTAACAGATCAATGCGGTATGGCTAATTTATGCTTCCTTTAGGGGCACTGCTGGCTTCTGTTTCGTTGTCCTTGTGTGAGGTCTGAGGAGGGACTCACAAGAGCATCTAATTTCTTCAAGTCTAAAGTTCAAGAGAGTGACCCTCAGAGACTCTGTTTTTCCCTTCATTCCATTGGGGTTCTCCGGCCTCACGGCATTCTCCCTTGCGAACGACCTCCTGTTGGGATGGTGGACACCAAGCAAAGCACACTGGTTACAGTGACATCCTCATTCACAAGCTCTCAGCCTTACCTAAGCTCCAGCGGGACACCATGGGTAGGCACGCGGCTATGCACATAGCTTCTTTAGGTTCTCCAGTACATGAAGGATTGTGTATTGACATGAAGATGAGTTGATAAATGACACGAGGTGTCATTCCAGGTGCTGCTTTCCAGGAGCTAAAAATCCAGTGGATGACACAGACACAATATTTCTCTTTATACAAAGAAAGCTGTCTCAACTTTTGTAATTGACTTAAAGCCAAGTGCTGTAAGGGTGGAAGAGAGGTGTTATTCACTTCTCATACAGCTGTGGGTTGTTCCATCATTTAATTGATCTTAATTTTTACATGTGACATATAAATGTGAATGTGATGAGGTTTTCTGGTTGTTGATTGTTCTTTTCTGACCTGGGTATTGAGTCCTGGGCCTGACATATGCTGAGCTTCAGCTCTCCCACTGCACTATAAGGCAGCCACCTAGGGATTGTAAATGCTAAATTTAGTAAGCAAGCTGGAACACAACATAGCCAACGTGGTCACTTCTACACTTTACATGATATATAAACAACCTTGGAAGCTGGGCACAGTAGTGCACTCCTGAGGATCCCCATTACTCAGGAGACTGAGGCAGTCAAGTTCAAGTTCTAGAGGCCAGCCTGGGCAACTAAGTAAGTGAGACACTGCCTTAAAAAAAGAAAAAGAAAACAAAAAGACTGGTGACGTAGCGCAGTGGCAAAGCACCCCTAGGTTCCATCCCCAATACTGCGGGGAGGGATTGGGGGTTTGACATTTCTGTCTTGTTTATAAAACCTATTTTCATTTTAAAAATCAGACAAGCAGCACTATTCTCGGGAGGAAGAAGCATAACATTTTTTAGAAGACCCCACTTATGCATCTAGTCCTGACAAAATTCAGAGACCTAGAACCCAGGCCTTACAGAGGAAGAAAGTGGAAGCCTTCCTCTGCGAGCTCCGCCAGCGGACCAGAGGGCGCCAGACCTCAGCCCGGGGCTCATCCCTCTCTCGGAGCCCGAACAGGTGGGCCAGGTGGGTGGGGACGCGGTGGGCGTGGCGGGCGCGGGGGAGGAGCGCGGGGGGGGGTCCCGGGGGCGTGGCGCAGGCACAGAGGCGGAGGCGCTGCCCGAGCTCCCGGAGCGCTGAGTGCACGGAGCCTTCCGAGAAGGCCCGGAGCCCCCGCCGAGCCGGGACCGCGCTAGCTCCAGGTAGGCAGCCTTGGCTGTCCCGCGGCGGGAGGCGGGGCAGGTCGGAGTGCGAGCCGGCTCCCGGCCGGGCTCCTGTGCTCCGGGCAAGGCTCCTCCGGGAGGAGGACGCAGCCCGGGGCCAGGCGTGGAGCGTGGCGTCCTCCCTCGACTTCTCCCCTTCGCCGGCTCCGTGCGTCCCGGGCGAGGACACGACACCGGCGGCCGCGTCACCTGGAAGCCCCTCTCTGTCCTCTTCTCCGCTGGTCCGCGGAGGGAGCGCTCGGCAATCCTAGGGCTTGGCTGCGGGCGTGGGAGGCAGGGAGGGAACAGTCACTCGCCGGCGTTTCTCGGGGGCCAGAGACTTTATTCAACTTCATTTCATCCCGACCCGAGCCCTGTGAAGGGGCGTCGTTACCCCCATTTTACTCCTGCGAAGCCCGCGCGCGCTTGGGTGAGAGCCGGCTCGCGCCTAGACGGCAGCCTGGGCCCGGAGCCAGGGCTGGGGACCTGGCGCTGCAGGGACTGTTAGGAAAAGCAGGTGACTCTTCTTGGGCGTGTTTTCCTCCCCTTCCAGATATTTGACTCCTCTTCTTTCTTTCTTGTTTGTTTTGTTTTGTTTCAGTGTCTAAGCCCCGAATGAAAGTCTCCCCGTTCAGGGTTGCTGGCTTCCGCGGTGGAAGAAGCTCTTGCTCACCGCCCTCTCTCCTCGCAGCCCCTCTCCAAGCGCCGTAAAACACAGGCTCCTTCGCGCCCCTTCCCGCGCCTCCCGCGGACGGACCGCCGGGCGGAGGTGAGTTACGCGCTGCGCTGCTGGCGGTGGGCAGCCTCCAGATGCGCGTGGACCTTTCCCTGCACGTCCTTTACCTTGTTTCTTTCTACCGAGAACAGAGTCGTCCTTATGCAGACAATGGCAGCAGCGGCAAGCTGAAGGTTGTACGGTGGTTAGAGGAAACTGGTGCGTGGAGGTGACGAGGGGGCCACAGCTTTCTGTGGCCTGAATCTGACGACCGAGTCGAGTCGAGGGGAGAGCCTGAGTTTTTCCTCTAGCACCCCCACACCCCCGTTTAGAACTCTTCTGAAAGAAAGGTTTGCTTTCACAGAAGGAAGGGGAAGGATTAATGGTTTGTAAAGATGAGTGTGAATTACCTGCTTGGAGCTTAGTCAGTTACAGACAGGGCGTCTCTGCAGGGGGATCTGGTAACAGATTTCAGCTCTGGCAGGGAGGAAAACTCAAGAGCATACTGGGATCTGCTTTTCTTTTTCTTCCTTTTTTTTTTTTTTTTTAAAGACCTTCAAAATGGTAGTTTTGGGAAATCTTGATTTCTTAGAAATGGCCAACTCCCTTATTTTTAACTGCAGTGCACCATACCATGAACTTTAAACAAGTGTCTTGTTGGTAGATGAAGCAGCTGGAGGGGGTTCCACCATCCCTTTGTGGTGAGGATTTGAAGGTTGTTTGCCATCCCTCCTGCTCTTCCTTCACCGTGACCTTGTGAGGACCCCTTAGCTTCTGCCCCACATCTGTATAGGACTCCAGCCTTCGTTATTATAGTTCATCTTTGATTAATTACCTGTATAACACCAATTCAGCACACAAGTTGCTGTTCTTCTTACTCTCTCATTTGTAAGATAGTTGCTTAACAATTAGAAAAATGTGTACAGGGCCCTGGGCGCTATACCTCCGTGGTAGAGTGTTTAAGGCTCTTGGTTATATCACCACCACTCCCAAACAAAGAGACCAACAACAACGACAACAAAACAATGAAAAAACCTTTTCTTCAAACTGAGATCATAAAATCTCCCATCTACAGGGATAGGAGGACAGGTAATATACAAGGTCTGAGAGGTCCAGTTGGGGCCAGGTGACCTGCAAATCTGGGTGGGTATTGGCCATGCCTATCCAGTAATCCTGCAGGAATTCTGGCCCAGTGTAGCCAGAGCCCCCCCCCCACAAAGTAGCCAAAAATATTTATTTTTTAAAATATAAAACATGATTTAAAATATTGGCTTTTTTCTTTTTTGAAACAAAGAATCAGATTTGATTTATGCGTCATCCATTTGCTAATCTCTGCCTTATAAACTGTGTAATTATGTCTTCAAGGTGAATGGAAAAGTCTGAGTTATGACGTAAACACTGTACCTTTTCATGAAATGAGGTGATAAGAGACAAATTAGTGCTATGGGAAGTGAGCTCTTTTGGTTGTCAAATGCTGCTTTCTATGAAGTGTGTAGTATTTCAGCTGTGTTGAGTAACATAGTCTGTGGGAACAGATGAGGACTCCTGTCATTATTTTAATATTCATTGTAATGAGAAATGGCTCCAGGTCAAGATGGCAAATCCCTAACTCCGTGTATTAAAAGAAAGTTCTTAGCTGAACAGGTTGGTGAATTCCTGTAATCTCGGGGCTCTGAGAGGCTGGGACAAGAGAATTCCAAGTTTCTGCCCAGCCTGAGCAACCTAGTGACTCAGGCTCACTTAGTAGGAGACTAACTTAGTGACTTAGTCTTAGACCCTGCCTCAAAATGAAAATGATAATAAAGGGCTGGGGATGTAGCTCAGGGTAAAGGCCCTGGGTTCAATCCCCAGCAGCACTGTAAAAAAGAAGGGGAGTTCCCAAATGACTGTTCAAATGAGTCAGGTATTGTGTGTTCTTTGGGGACTGTCTTGGCTTTGACACTGGAGGTGTGGCTCAGAGTTGTCACATTTCCTTGCTGCAGATGCCACAGATTTTTAGAGCAGTGTTTCTCAGCTTTGGCACTTTGGACATTTTGGGCCTGACAGATGATCTCTGGTGGTAGGGGATGGTCCTGTACATTGTAGGATGTGAGCAGCATCCCCGGCCTGCACCCGAAGATGTCAATAATACGCTCCCTCTGGTTCTTGCAACCCTAAATGTCTCCAGACATTTCCAAGTGTTTCTTGGGGGGCAAAGTCACCCAAAGTCACCCTTGGTTAAGGAAAAAATAGAGGCCAGATACTTGTGAAATCAATTACAGGCCAAATTCAGGGAGCATCAAACTTTCAATGACTACAAAAACTAATTGTAATTTTAAACATCTGACATTTAAAAACATTTTTATCACAAAGATGACCAAACCAGGGTCCTATGTGAACAGCCCATGTGTTCTGCCAAGTTTGAACTCCAAAGAAATTTCAAATGTTCAATGCATTTGTTTAATTGCATACAGTGTGCAATGTTGGAAACTAAAAAAGGATTCTATACTAGTTTTCATTTTTCTTTTTTTAATATGGTCAATGTCTTTCTTTTTTTTTTAAGGCGGTGACATATCAATTGACCATGCTTTTAAATTTAGGAAAACTGGCACAATCTGTAATGTTAGAACCCCAAACAAAGCTAAGCAAAAATTCTAATATTGAGACTTGGTGTGAATATATGTTGCTCAGGAAAGTTCAATTTTTGAGAAAATTAAGCTTTTTTGAAGCTAACAGCAAAAACTAAGCCTGCTCCCTGTTTTGAGAAACATATATGAGAAATCACCTGCTGCATGTGATATATAACTCATATGAAAAGAAAAATTTTCTGGGAATTTAACACTGTTAATTAGATGTTAAATAAGCTCAGGGAGGGGAAAAATACAGCTCTGGGTTTGAAAAATGCATTCTTAACTAGGAATTAGCTCTCCACTGGCCCCTTCCAGAAATCTAGCTAACTTGTAAAACCCACAACTGACAAGGCTGGGGATGTAGATCAGTGATATCATGCCTACCTGGCAAGAGCAAAGTCCTGAGTTTGATTTCCAGTACCGGGAAAAAAAACAAAAACAAAAAATAACTGAACAACTGGCTACATAATTCATAAGGTTTCTTGTTAAAAGAAGGATGACCACAGTGGTTTGCGCCTGTCATTCCAGGCTGAGGCAGGAAGATCCTAAGTTTGAGGCCAACCTGGGCAACTTAGCAAAACTTTCTCTCAAGATAAAAAGTAAAGGCTAGTGATATAGCTCAGTAGCAGAGTGCGTGCCTGCCATGGGGGAAGCCCTGTGTTCAATCCCTAGTATCATAGAAACAATAAATAAAAGCAAGACTTGCAAAATGGCAACCACAAAGCATTAAGCCAAGCAAGGGGCCATGTGTGATTACATAGGTTGCTCTCTATGAACCTGGGCTGGTGAAGCTCTTTGTCTATATCTACAAAGAGGGTTGTGATAACAAATGCAAAACCAAGAAATAAAATGTCACTGCTGCAACCAATCACCAGTCACCAATCACCCAGAGTTTCTGATTCATCAATTGTGGATCTCTTTCCAATCAGGAGTCTGCATATATTTGGTAATCAGTGTCATAAAGTTACTAAGAAATTCTCTCATGATTAATTTTTCTACCTCGGCAAAGTAGCCACGTTGTTCCATAGAGTCCTGGGTTCCTGGCCCACTTACTGGTGTAGGCCTTCATGGAACAACTGCTTACTGGGCGGCTGTTAGATGGCAGGCATTGTTGGCTCTGTGGCCACAGCCATGATGGAGCATCCCTGCCTAGGTGTGTCCTTTGGTCTGGTGACTAGAGGAGCAGACAGCCAGGCACACAAGCTCTCAGGTCCTAAGTGATGGTTCAGAAAAGCACAGGCTGTTAAACGAGGATGGGGCCCGGATACCTGACTTGGTTTAGGAGAGGAGGCTTGGTCAGCGAAGTCCTCCCTGAAACGCGATGTTTCATGTGAGACCTGAAAGAAAACAAGAAGTAAGCAGGGGAATCGGGATGGATTTCCAGGAGGAAAAGTTGAGACCAGAGGGAAATATAGCTGCGGATGAGGCCTCTTGGATCATCTTCAGGATTTTGGGCTTTAGGGTAATGGTAGTGGTGAATCAACTAAAGGATTTTAAAACTTTTTTTTTTTTTTTGCAGTGCAGGGGACTGAACCCAGGACGTTCTGTTCTTTTATTCTGAGATCTCACTAAGTTGTTAAGTTTCCCAGGCCGAGCTCAGACTCGCCATCCTCCTGTCTCAGCCTGCCAGAGTGCTGGGATTACAGGCTTGTGCCACTCTGCCCAGCTCCACTAAAGGATTTTAAGTGAGAGATGAGGTGATTTGATTTGAGTTTTTAAAATGATCACATAGTCTGGAGGGGTAGGTACTGCTGGCATGTACAGTATGTCTGGACAAACCAGAAAAGGGGCTTTTTACTTCTGGATGGGCCATTTAGAAAAGGTATACTGCTTAGACCTCAGCTAGACCAGTGTGGAAAGCTTCATCCGCCTCAGCTGGGCACGTAGTGTTGGCACAGCCTCCACCATCACGGGTGCCACCCTGGGCAGGGGAGAAGCTGTGTGCAGACTTGCCCGCCCACACGTTTGCAGGCACCCAGGGATGACACTGGGTAAAAGGGGATGGCACAGGGAGACTGAGTCTAAGGGTGCAGTTCTAACCAGCCAGAAGGTGGTGGTTATTTAGACATGGTTGATAGGGAGGTAACGGATGATTCAGAAGTTTCTGGCATAAACAGCTGGGTGGGATGGAGTGGCGCAAGCGTGTGGTGTTAGAGAGGTGGAGGAGGACGGGGCTGGCACCGGGCAGGGAGAGAAAGCAATTCCATTCTGGATGTGTTTTGCTTGTGAGACATCCAAATGGAGACAAGGAGTAGGCAACCCACCAGGGAACAGATCTGGGAGGAAAATGCGTCTGGGAGCTGTCGCCTATAAATAACGTTGGTAGAGAAAGGTCATTCGGTGTAGAAAGAGAAAAGAAAGGGGCCAGCTCCACAGCTTTTGAGCCTTGTGTTTGGTACGGGAGGAGAAGCCAGATGAGGTGGCAACTGAGCCAAATATGCATGGAGGATAGGGCAGAAGTCTGGGGTCTGGGGTTTTCTGTTTCTCTCCTTTTGCCCTGGTCATAGCTAGACTGGTTCTATCAAATTCGTGGCAGGGAAACTGAGTTCTGAAAGCCACTCTGGGATCCCAGTGTGCAGCCAAGGTGCCGCCCCTAGGGGTGGGCCTGGGATGGTTAGAGCCAGTCTGCTGGGTGAAGCTGCAGCCCCGCTGCCTGAAGCCGACTGAACTGAAGCCTGTGAGACAGAAAGTGAAGTGGACTCCCAGAGCAGGGTGCATGCGATAGTCTTTCAGAGGAAAGT